CACCCCCTACCCACACTAGCTTAAAATTGATTTACTACAGATACTTGAATCGAAAACCCCGGGTGTTAGGTGGTATTCATTGAAACGAGCTATTTGAAATATGCTCCGCAATTTCAGTGAGTGGAAGTGAGTTTTCCTGACCTTTTGCTCTTCTACCTTAACTTCAAAGAAAACACGGGATGTGATGTAAGAAATATTATATCTAAATGAACAATTTGTGACGATGGTCGTTGTAATCACGGTCTCTGAGATTTTAAATATCCACAGTATCACCACGCCATCAACATGAAGTTACTTCTTGATATTAATGTTTCATTTGGCTTTCTTATTTCCTTCCAGACAAGACCAATATTCAGATTCACTGGAGACCGTTATCGATCTTACTTCTGATAATGAAGATGTTATGGTGGTTTCCTCTGGGGATGAAGCAAAGGAGAAAAAGTTTGACACAACTGATCGTCAGCACGCCCATCTCTTTCGTCTGCTCTCATGGAATATTGATGGATTGAGTAAAGAATCCCTTTCATTCCGCACACCTGAAGTTATTAATCTTATACTAAGGTAAGTATCTAAGTCTGGAATGTTAATTATCTATCAAATACCCCGAGGCGTTCAAAGTAGCTCTAATTCCGGCACTAGAGCTACTCGAAGAATTTGACCCGATTGGAATTAGAAATAATGATCTTCTTAGTAGCTGACAAAATCCTACAATGTTTCCAAAATTAGAAGGCCAGGGGTTATTCAAGATCACGTGTATATTGATCAGTTGGAAGTGAATTATGAGGGAGTATGATGAGGATGTGGTAATTAGAAGGAGAAAGGCAGAACGCCAATGGTGAATAAGTTGAAGTTGAGTCGTAATGGAAAGGATCTTTTGAGGTGGGATTTCGTGGCGTTTTACTCGCTGATGAGCAACTAATCATCACGATCTCATAAAAGGCATAGATCACATAGAGAGGCCAAGGAGACTTCTGAGGCGTCGTATGCGTTCAACAAGTTTTTTTTCATTTAGTCTCACCATCTGGCCGTCTGAAGTATTCATAGCATAAGTTTGCGTGTTTTATTGACCTGTTGTTTGGCAATGGAAAATAGCGTATTGGGATCCTTATCTTACAAGACTATGGAAAGAATGAGTTTTGTCAATTATTCAAAGGTAGACATCCATTAGAGATTAAGCAGTTGATTAACAATGATGGGCTCAATGTCACTTTTCTCAAACTTTTTCCCTCTCGTTTAACTGCCAAGACAAGGCTCAAACTGGCTTCTAATAATGTTTATTCTTTCGCATGCAGTATTTCAATGCTTAAAGGTTGATTTTATGCCTTGGTGATCTTTTCGTGCATTATATTGCACTACTTTGTAGAAGTAAGGCTGCTCCAAGGCACTTTATCTGCCCATCTGTTTTTTGGAAATCTAGTCACCTCCAGGCTGATGAGTTTTTGTTCCCCCAACTGCCAAGTTGACCACCAGAGCAGCTTTCATTAACTTATTACTAAGGCCTATGGTTGATTTAGCGACCACCGATGGGGGGGGGGAGGTCGCTTTATGCTTTTATTCGGTCTGTGTTTCGGCATCCTATTCTCTTTTTCCTCGAACGTTTGATTTCAGGGAGAAATTTCACGTGGTCTGTCTGCAGGAAGTTGTCCCCGAAACGCTGAAAAGTATTAAGGAGAAATTAGACGACCTCTTTAAAATTTTCTCTCCCACGAATAAAGGAGAATACTTTCCAATTATTTGTGTTCTCAAACACCCCGGTCTTTCTACTGTACCTGGCTCATTTAAGGTACGTAAATACTACTTAAATAGTGGAAGAATTTAGTATATTCTATGCACATATCTAATAATTGACATTTCTTTTGTAAAAAAATCGGAAAGCTGATTGTTTTGACTAATTTGAACAGGAGGAAATTGAAAGTTGGTTTTGAGTTTGCGTAAATCACATGCGGAAAAATAAATTAATCTAATTAATGTTGAAGATAAGGTAACAGATAGAATATTCTTTCGTCATTTGGAGGTGCTAAGGTTACTATTTTTCGTACTGTTTTTAACTTCACATCTCTGTTTTTTTCACCCGATTCCTACAAGTGGCATTTCGATTACTTTCAGATTTGACTAAATTAAGCGGTTATTTATCAATGGAGTTCGCTTTAATTGAATTCCAATGAGTATTGTTGGAGACTTATTCTAGTCTTATTCACCCCGCCCTTGGTTGTAGGGAGGTGAAAATTAATCAAGATAAGAGGTTGATTCAACTGGTCTTGAAGATGTAAGTGTTGTGAACAGGAACTCGGAAAGAGGTATTATCTGGAGGAACTAAAATCAGGAGTTGGTCAGAAGAAGAAGGCCGGGCAGAATCGTAAAGTTGAATACGGATTTGGTGTAAGATAACACAGGTTTACAATGGCTTGCTAAAACAGTTCGAGCATATAAAATAAATGTAAGTTTCGCTCTGCTTATTCATAAATGCTCGGGATTTATTGGTTGGAAAAGAGGTCATTTACCAGGTATTCGCTGGGGGTCACTATAGGACCTCTTTATACATTTCGAGGGGGGGGGGGGGGGGGGGGGGCGTAGGGATCAGGCCTTTTTGATTATGAACAATCTCGTTAATTATCGGGGAGTTTTATAAATAAACTCAGTTAACACATGAAGCCTCTATTAGAGGACTATTTTCATATTTAACTGCTTTAAAGTATCACTTTTCAAGCTATACAAATTGAAAGATTAGCTCTTTAAATAGATTAGTTGGTATAAGTTGTTAAGGGTTAATTTGAATGTCTTAGGTGACTGAATTTAAATCATTGATGGGTCGACAACTTCTCAGTCTGGACGTTGATATTGAAATTCCAAAACTTCTACCAGCCAATCCATGTGCGAGGCACTGGAATGGCCACCCGGCAATCCGAGTTCGAATTTTTACCTCTCACCTAGAAAGTTGCCTAGATTTCGCCAGTGTACGCAAAGAACAGCTCTCTATAGTGTGGAACGCTATGCAAAGTGCTCTTCAGACCGCCTCTTCTTCGAATGCAGCTAGCTCTCCAATTTGTGCTCTCTTCTGCGGAGATTTGAACATTAGGGATAAAGAGGTGAGTATTGCAGATCCCTCGTCTTTTTCTGGGCCATCTACTCTTAACCATGGGCTACTGCACATCATTCCAGCTCCATTACACTAAAGCAAACTAATCTTAGAGAAACTAAAATATTGAGAGAATTTGCTAATCACGATTGCGTTTCGTGTTTCTATTATTTCTAATGGGTTAAGACTGTATTTTGGTTTCCACACTCCGTAGCATCTAACTGTTGTCAGAATTCGTCTGTATAGTTTTGTGACTTATATTATTTTATTAAGCAAACTGCAAAGAAGGTGTATCCCCTCTTCGGACATTCATTACGTGGCGTTGATTTGAAAGTAAAATTCCCAATGTGGTAAGTATGTGCAATCGAAGGTATCACATTAGCCGCATAAATGATGCAAACTAAACTATATCCTTCTGTGAGCAACCGAGCACGTTGCTACAAAAAAATTGAAATTAAGCTAAACTAGCAAACTCGTCAGTTTGATGTAGATGTAATTGTCAATGCAATGGGGACCAATGAGCAGGTTGCGATGTGTCCAATCCCATTTCTTTGGTGCTTGTGACTGTCGCTTTATCTCAATTTATATGCAGTCTATTGTTTCTTGGTCTACCCTGCCATCTAGACCCGGCTTGCCTTTAATGAGCTAACACCACTAGAATGTCCATATAACTTTCATTCTTCATTTATTAGATTAAGGATCTCGGAGGCCTTCCAGCTGGTATGGTAGACGTTTGGGAAGTTTGTGGAGCCCGCCCAGAGGCAAGATTCACTTGGGATCGAAGTCGGAATCCTAATTTATCGTTGGATAATTGCGAACAAATTAATACAAGCCGCTTTCGTGGGCATCGTTTCGATAGAATGATGCTGCTTCGTCGAGGAAGGAGTCTTCAACCAATTGATTTTGAACTTCGTGGTTTAGAACGTGTGCCTAACCGTTCACACTTCCCATCAGATCATTGGGCAATTCTTGGTCATTTCGATCTTGAGCCGCCTCCTTCCTCCTTGTCTTCTAAGGCTGCTAATTGAAGAGTTGCTCTAACCTATTTAATAAACTTTTTTGTATTACGGAAATTTCTTTGTCATTTTCTTCTCTAATATGTGATTTTCATGGAGTGCGTCGTCGTTGAACCTTACTGTGTACTGAATCCCTTCTGTAGAACCCAATCAATTGGGCTTGAATTACGTCCTTTCAAAATGAATGATCTCCCTAATATCTAATAGGATGGCGCATTTCTTGCGATCTAGCCATTGGCCAATACTGAGCTTCGTTTCTGTCCCCCAATTGGTTCACTCTACGTGCAGTGTGAGGTTTATTATGAGTCTACTTTCACGGCTCTTATAGGACTTCAGGTGAACAATTAAATGATTCAATGAATAATGAAAGCTGGAATAATCGCAGAATTGTTTGTTATCGTCTGCTGTCTCTTCTGGTTACCTAGCAGTATCATAGCTAGGTCGTTATGAGTAAAATTTATTTATTTATATCAAATGGCAGGCGTTATGATAGTTATCATTAGCCCTTTAGTTTACTTCAGGCTTCACAGAGGGAAGGGAACATCAAAGTGAAAAAGGAGGGAGTTGGAGAGAGTGTTTCAAAGATGTAGAAGAGACAGACACAAAGGTAGAAAAAAAGTGAGGTGAGTACTGCGGAAGTAGTCGAATATGACATACAACGGGATGATGGTAGTTTGAAGTTAGAAGTCAACTGCCAGTTAATAGACTTTTGCCGTATGGGTATACGTTGCCCAGGGTGCACCACGTGGAGGTAAGTCTATCGCGCACCCATTATGAGTAAAATAAAGTATAGGATTGCCAACAAACTACATACTGGTAGAGCGAGTTCACTTGGTTTACTATAAGCAATGTGAATCGGTAGTTCTTATTTTGGGAGTCAACGTAATGCTCCCTTGGGAATTGAAAACTGGCACCACTACTAATTTGGCATCAACTATTTCACAAGAGGCGTTTGTGTGGGAGGTCTTTAATTTCTCATTGAATCACAATTCCAGGAGACTGCTTCAAAATTTAAGTGGGCTCGAGTCGAACGTTTTCTGACGGTCAATTCATCCGTATACTTGCAGTCTGCTTTGAGCGCATCCATAAGTTGTCAAAAGCACATACCCCTTATGAATGTTTTAGCTAATGTGCGGGTTTTTAAAACCGGAAACAGAAATAAATAAGTCTAGGACCTCAAGGAGGGGGGGGGGGCGAGTTTCTTCATTTGAGTTTTTAGCCAATTGGATAGTTATGGTTTCGTGTTTATTCGCTTCCAAGACTACAACTTCATATCGTGGGGAACCCTTTTGATCACGTAGGAAAGAAAAGATTTTACAGTGCTAAATTGGAAGGGGGGGGGGAGTAGGAAAGCAAACCAGAAAAAATGTAGCCCCCATGTCTTGGTATTTGGTAAGCTACATGATCGTGTTGGAGCTTGATGGGGAAATCATCAGATTCCTTCTCTAGTGAAAGGAACATTTGAATGGCATAATTTTGTTTGGTTCCGTGGCCATCCTTTTTTTTCGAAGTCAGCTAACATTCCCTTTTTGAGCGGAGGAATCTGCAAACTGGAAGATCAACCTTAGATTTGTGATGATCGATAAGTCAGTATCTTCTCATCTCCCTTTTCTACTATTTCACATTTTGAACTTCAGACTTCGACCTCTTTTGTTCTTAACCGAATTCATAATCAAGATGCTCGAAGCCTATTCACCAGTTCATCGATAGGACGTTTAGGCGACGAAGCCGAAATTGTTTACCTCTTTCAATAAATAAGGGCAGTTAAGTGAAATTTTCTACAGCGTTGCTAACTGTGGCATCGATGACTAGTATTAAGTTGATAAAATGCATCCTGCTGAAAATATTCGCTTCACCGGTAGGTGTGTACTTATCATTATTTTAACAAATAAGATGAAAGAAGGAGAACATGCGAAAACTCCATTTCTGAAATATCTATTTATATCAAATGGCAGACGTTATGTTGGTTATAATTAGCCCCTTTAGTTAACTTCAGGCTTCACAGAGGGGAAGGAACTTCAAAGTGAAAAATTCGAGAGGGGGGAGGGGAACAGAGGAGTGTTTCAAGGAGGTAGATATAAAAGGTAAAAAAAGGTGACTTGGGTACTGTGGAAGTAGCCAGTTAATAGACTTTTTTGCCGTTTGAATGTACATTGCCCAGGGTGCACAACGTGGAGGCAAGTCTATCGCACACCCTATTTCTGATATATAATATATCTTTCAAGTCTGTATAATTGTTGGTCTCCTTATATACTTATTTATTTGAATGTCAATAAAAGTATATTGTATCTTACCTTTGGGTTAAATTTAATTTACATTTATGCAATTGAGCATTTCACAAGCGGATCTCTACAGAAGATAGCTACCTCCTTTTCACGTGCTTAACCCTTACTCTGAATGCCTTCCTGTCAATTGGTATAAGCGAAAAATTTAAATCAAATTTAACAAAAAGGGCCAAAAGGCAGTATTCGAGAGATATTTCAGTAACCATATTTCAAATGGTGGGCGTTTCAATAGTTATTATTAGCTCTTTAGCTGACTTCGGGCTTCACAGAGAGGAGGAGTTACATCAAAGTGGGAAAAATTGAACAGGGGAAAAAGAAAAGCTATTCACAGGTGTAATAGTGGCAGACAGACACAAAGGCAGAGAATAGATTAGATGAGTACTGTAGAAGTGGTCAAATTTGACATAGACTGGGGTCATAGTAGTTTGAAGTGAGAAGTCAACTGCCGGTTAATAGACTTTTTGCCGTATGTGTATACGTTGTCCAGGGTGCACCACGTGGAGGTAAGTCTATCGCACACCCCATTTCCCAAAATAAGCTCAGCGAAAAATCATACCGGCTACCAGCAACATCTATTTCGTAAAAATTAGACAAATTGAGACAAATTTAAAATGATGCGGGGCTATGTAAGCACGCACAAGTTCCATCTTTCTCCCATGGAAACCACTATCTGTGAAATTTTCACCCACTTGCCTTGAAACCTAGGTCCTATAAACGAAAGCAATAAAAAGTATTCCCATGGGGTGAAATTTTTAACGACGAAAGTTAAAAAATGTAGCCATTTTGGTCTCAAAGCTGAATTCGCCAGCTTTCCTCTCTTCCTATATTATATTATTACATTTGCTGCATCTCCAAATTATTCTCATTACATGACTATTTGCTAGCAAAATATTTAATCTGTTATACTCTAGGAAATTGATTAAAGTTCATGATCGTTTACGTAACATTTACCGAAATTGGCTAAAAATGGATACATTGTGTTCATGACACTTTTTAAAATTGAAACAAATTTCCGGCTTTTAAAACTTTGTGCTCAAAAAGCTAGTCTGGCGCCAACAGAAGAGAAATTTTCCAAATCTCGCCAGCACAGGAGTGTTTTAATCTAGTTTAAGATTAGCGAAATTATCTCAGTAAGTGATGTTTTGCGATGCGCGTCTTTGAATACTTGAAAGAATAAAAAAAACGAAAATTTTAGATTTTTTAAAATTGCCTTATACATCGAGAGGGATTGCTAGGTAGTGGTCGTTAGATATGTCCATTGTGAGTATTTTCAATGATTTTTAAATAAAATATCTGAACGTATCGAAGTGATATACACATCTTAGTGTTATCATCTTTCTTACCACAAAATGAACAAGCTGATTGGTTGAAAGTGTACTCCGCGTTTACGCCAATCAGACGTCGATAGAATATTATCACCTTATTAGCCAAACCGAGGCTAAGTGACCTTTCTTCACCAAAGTGAGGAATGAAAGGGACAGAACAAATTCCTCAGACATTAACTGTCAGGACCAAGACTAACTACTTCGTGCAGCATTGCCTTAATTTGATATTGAAGTTAACATGTCTTTGAATGATATTTAGACTCTAGTGATGTGGTAACCTCCTTTTGAAGTTTAGATCCGAGAATAAAAACTGATTCCTTATTCTCCTATTCTCTATTCCAAATTTGAGTAATTATAATTTGATTCAATACAAGTTTTGTTATTAATAGAGCAATAAAGCAGGAGTATTGGTACTGAAATTTGGGCAGTTTCTTAACCACCACTTGGAACAAACTGAATTTCTTATGTGTTCAAATATAGTCACCATTGGTAACAAATTATATTGAGTTTATTGTCCTCATAATTCAAAGCTTAAACCCGAATTCATGAAAGCATTTTCTCCAACCTCAATATACCTCACTTTTTGACTCATATCTAAAGAAAAATTACCTGAAAGGGAAGACATTAGAAGACTGGAATTAATTTTTTTATTAATGAGATTTAGTTGTTAGTTCAAGAGCGCCACTTTTGGCTTTACGTTGAAGGTGGGTGAGAATGAGAGTGATGGAATTGTATTGAAAAGAGAGGGCGGAAGAAATAGTTGACTCGTATTTTTTTGAGATTTGTCTCTAAATTTCCTCTGTCACTGGCGTTCATTTTTCCTCTAAACAAAAGTTGAAGTCAAGTATCCACAACGCAATCAAATATCACCTAGAACACTACTTCTCTTTGCAAAGAAACTACATTTTAACTCATGCATTTATCATAATTTTATTATTTTATTTTCGTGAATTAATATCTAATAATGGTATGGAAGGATAGGCTTTGACAGAATTCGGGAAATTTTTCCAAACTTTGCCTGGGTTCCAGAATTTACGACTACAGTTTTGTCATGCTCATCTTATGAGACAATATATTCTTTATGTTACTAACTAATTGGTAACTACTAGACGTATTTATATAAACACTGAGCGCTGTCTTAATGAAGTAAACATCGTTTGCCTTACAAATTTCCTCCCCTCTACCAAATGGGTCCAATAAAATTCTTGACTGTAACAATTAGATTGCTGGTGTCAGCAGTACGTCATTGTTGAGCAATTCAATTTTCCAAGTGTGGGAGATCACCTATCGGCTATTTGACTTTGAAAAGAAATAATACTCTCTAATACCAAAGAAGATAGGTCGTAAACACTGACAGGAAACCATTCCGTCACTAGAGATCCACTCTAAAGGATAGATCCGA